AACTCAACAACATTTAGCTACCGGTTCTCCCAAACTGGTGCGAACCAGTTGAATCCCACCACTGCTTCTAATCCAAACAGGAGACCCTTTACCATTTCAGACAAATGGCTGTGCAATCTCTTCTTAAAAACCTTCAGTGATGGAGTACCCACAACAACTGACAAATTCTTCTCACTGTCAGGAAATTTCTCCTTATTTCTAGATTAATTCCTTTCTTTATCAATTTCCATCCATTGCTTTTTGTCCTGCCTACAGGTGCTTTGAAGAATAGGTTAATAAGGGGCGCCACAAAGAAGAGGGGGGGCTTTTCTTTGTGGCAGCCCTTTAGATATTGGATATTTTAGATATATTAAACACTGCTATCATGTCATGCCTAATCCTTCTCATTAGACTAGACTACCCAATTCCTGCAACCGTTCATGTGATTTAGCCTCCAATCCCCTAATCATCTTTGTTGCTCTTCTCTGCACTCTTTCTAGAGTCTCAGCATCTTTTTTATATTGTAGCAACCAAAACTGGAAGCAATATTCCAAGTGTGGTACACACCTTATTATAATTATTTTTAATATTCCTTGATGATGAAGGATGTGACCATAGATGTAAGAAGATCGTTGAATATCAGGATCAACATTTTCAATCCATATCTAGACTGCTGTGCTTGGAAGGTGAGGCAAGACTCACCTTCCATTTCCTTCTCAGTCTAAAGGTAGTTCCAGAGAAGTCCTTTTCTCTCATTTCTCCTACTTCGTGGATTGTGGATTGTGGTTGAGCTAAAGTTCATAGAAGTAATCCTAAACCTTGGATTAACAGGTTCAACATGTCAGTAAATATTTACCTGGTAAAAGCTACACAGTTTTGAAAATTTAATTAACATTGCCTTTAAAAAAGAAAGTTGTTATTTTAACAATTGCAGCTTGTGTGTAATTTTGCTTGGGTTCCTCTTTTGTGCCCTTACATTTTTATATTCTTCATACAAGCGAAAAAATTACTTTTTCAGCCTTTAGAAAATTATTCACTATATTTATGTAAAAGATTTGTATGGTGGCCCATCTTAGAACACAACTCTGGGTGGCTCACAACAACACTAAAACCAAGAAACAATAACAATAAAAAAGGCAAAAGCAAAACCCAGTGCCTCGACCATCACTGCATCATCCTTAGATGCCTCTCACAAAACCACTCCCAGGCTACCATCTTTGTCTTAGTGGCTGGCCTACTTGGAAGAGGGTTCCACAGGGCAGCGGCTGTTCCAGTAAAGGCATGCTTCCTAAGTCCCAGTATATGGCAATACTTAAGAGACCTACAGTATATACGTACTCTATAACCTGGTTCTGGGCTATGTGAAGCTTTCAAGACAGTCACCAGCACCTTAAATTGCACCCAGAAAGAAACTGGTAACCAATGCAGGTCACCAGAGTAATGGAGTAATATAGGCAAACCAAGACAGTGGCTATAAATGCCATGTTGTTAGGATATACAGACTTGAGAATAAAGAAATGCATTATTACCCATCTCTATGAGATGCATATTGTATCACAATACTGCCCATAATTGTAAATCATGGAATAACCAAGCCTCCTTAGAAATATTTGGCTCAGAATTCTATCAAGAGTAAAATAGCTGTAGAATTTGTTTGGAAGGCTTAAATGTGGACACTTCTTTAAAATCATAATTTTGAAACAATTGCAAAAACTCAGGCTTGAAACAAGACAATTTTGTGAGGTTGTGAGCTGATCCAGGAGTAATGCAAACAAGGTACACTTGTAAACTGCTCTATGATCCTTTCCAAGTATCAAAATGTATAAATGCTTTCCAAAATAAGCCAGAATGCTGTGTTTGCTGCTTTTATTGTTTTAATCCTTTTTGCTGTAAACTGGCCTTGTAAGCCACTTAGAATTGGTTACAACTAAAACAACGTGTAAGCTGAAAAAAAGAAAAGAAATTAAGCAATCAAATAAGCGTCGCTGGAGTTAAGATGTGTTGTTTCGTATTTTTTTGTGAAAGCATACATCCATTTTTAAATTAAATATAGCAAAACATCGACCAATCGTTATCATTTTCAAAGCGTTATGCAGTTTTCTGTCTCCACAGACAGATCAAACATTGTAGTGGTTCAAACTGAAGAAAATTGCTTTCATGAACTACAACAGTTGAAAAAAACATGGGGGGAAGGGTAGTATTTACAGAAAGGTCACATGAGGCATTGTTTTAATCCTCCAGGGTGTAAAGCAGTATTAAATTCTTGTAGTGGAGCTACAAGAAACTTGAAATGTCCATCAAGGCAGTGCTTTGCAGCATGTATCTCCAACCTGCTGCTATTAAAAAGCATTTCATTTGTTCAAGTCAAGGGATCTTCTTCATGTCCTGCTTTTGTTCTCTCCAGCCAGCTTAATCAAATATGGAAGCAGCACTGTTGCCACTAAAGGATTATTTTGCTTTATTGCTCAGGGCGAGATTGAATCATTGTGCTTCAATCATGTTCTCTGGAGGAATGTAATTATCTGAGGCCCAATCTCTGCAGGCAATGTATTTATTTGGTGTCTACACTTGGTCTGCCCAAATAAACCCCACCCAGAAGATGGTGTAATGCCTCGGTAATGAAGCCCTGTCTATGTACTCCATTTACGCTGCAGTGAAGCATCACAATCTGCTTCCCCCCTTGACTTTTTGGAGGGAGAGGCGGGCAAAGAGGTGTGTCTGGAAGTTTCATGCATGGCAAATCCGAGATTGATTTTTGCCCTTCACTTTGTCCTTTAATTCATCCTTGCCACTTAAGCTATTAGCACAGTTCTGTAGCCTTTGCCTGTTAAAGCTGGCTCACTCAGATGCATTTTAGTTCATATTTACTAGGTCTGCCTATGTTCACCTGGGCCCATTTTCACCTCAGTTCATTAGGAACGTGTTATTGTTGGACTCCCCACCACAGTCTTTCAACTTAGCTCAGTCCTGTGCATATTCTTATCCTGAGATTTATGTCCTGCATCCACAAAAGAGGTCTTAAATCACCCAGACTGTTAACATCTCCAGTTCTGGGATCCTTGGAGATAAAATGCTGGTGTACTAATAGATGATTCATAGCTAGTCTTAAACAGAAAATAGCCTCATTTGTGCAGCACTGTTCTCTGCGGGAAGGGCTGTGTGTGTGGCTATGAGTCCTTTATTCATCATCAGGTTGTACAAAGATTATACCAAGCTGGAATTTAGAGACTTTGAGGTTTACATTGGCACAACTAAACAAAATTCATCGAAACAAATGAAATATTATTTAGCTTTCTTGCATCCATTATTATTTTTTCACTATTTGCTCTATGACTTAAAAACATGCTATTTTTTAAAAAAACCTAATATGTAATCAAATGATTACATATTACACGTAGAGAAGAGCAACAAAGATGATTAAGGGACTAGAGGCTAAAACATATGGAGAACGGTTGCTGGAATTGGGTATGTTTAGCCTAATGAAAAGAAGGACTAGGGGTGATATGATAGCAGTATTCCAATATCTAAGGGGCAGCCACAAAGAGGAGGGAATCAAACTATTTTCCAAAGCACTTGAAGGCAGGGCAAGAAACAATGGAAGGAAACTAATCAAAGAGAGAAGCAATCTAGAACTAGGGAGAAATTTCCTGACAGTTAGAACAATTAACCAGTGGAACAGCCTGCCTCCAGAAGTTGTGAATGCTCCAACACTGGAAGTTTTTAAGAAGAGACTGGACAGCCATTTGTCCGAAATGGTATAGGGTTTCCTGCCTGAGCAGAGGGTTAGACTAGAAGACCTCCATGGTCCCTTCCAACTCTGTTACTCTCAATTCTGTAGATAAATGTGCAAACTCATTTTCATAATTGAATCTCTGTTTAATATATGGAGCTCAAACTGGATGCCTACCATGGAATTATCAGAGGTTATCTGTGGAAGACTTTTCTGCCCACCAGCTTTCATTTAAGTATGGATCATGCTCAGTGTGCTACATTGTATCCTATTGTTATTCTATATTGAATTTTGCCTTTGGAGCTTCGTGGAATGATCTATAGCAAAGCTGATATGAAACATGAATGCTAGCTAGTGGGGCTTGAAATTAGAACGACTCCCATAAAAAAAAAGGCATATCCCATTTCAGATCTCTGTCTGAGAAACCTTTGAGACTATTCTAATTCAAACTGGATTCCATTCATCACCATACTTGCCTGTCAATAAATGCTTAGATTAATTTTGTTGAACACTTCAATTGATCAACCGGCCCTCCTCTGCTTATCACCCTCCTAATGAAATCAAAACTTCTCTATTTCTGCATTAGGAGAGGGACCACGTAATGATTGGAACAGCTTAATAGGCAGAGACTCGTCTGCCCTTAACCTGAAATAACTCACTAGAACACCCCTAAACCATATTTCTGACTGCACCATGCGGTTTATTTCTTATGAGAAATTGACAAACCTATCCTCCCAGCAGGAAATGATATTCTAGATCAGTGTTTCCCAAACTTGACAATTTTAAGGCATGAGGACTTCAACTCCCAGAATTCCACAGCCAGCAACGCTGGCTGTGGAATTCTGGGAGTTGAAGTCCACATGCCTTAAAATTGTCAAGTTTGGGAAACACTGTTCTAGATCACAGTGAGGAGGATCGTGTTCAGGTAGATACTTATAGCTAGCTGTCCATCTGTAAAACCGTCTTTTGAAATTATCTATTCCACTGGATAAAGAATTTTGTAGAAATCTAAAGGGAACTATGGATTGTGGAAAAGATTCATTCAGAATTTTTAAATATCTTCATGTAGAGGTATATAACACATTACTACAGCAATAGCTTCTTTTCCAGCCTAGGAGCCATTTTCACAAAGAGCACAAGTTGTTTACCCTACAGAAGTCACCATGAGGATTTCCCTCTCCCCACTTCCCAGAAGTGTAGTTATCCTCATTCTATCTTCCATTACATAATTAAACAGATTAACAGAATATCTTTTGCTATTGGATGTTCCAAGTAAAAGGCAGTCAGTTCACACTGTTTTCCAAAATGCTTTTATTTGATTTAGTTTGTAACAATTTGAATAGATCTACTACGGTTAAAGAAATGCCTAACTTCCCTTAATATTTCATGGCTGGATCTCTGAATTAATAATTGTGCTTTGATTTGACAGCTATAACAGTTGCTTGAATTCTGACCCACAGGTGTGGTTTTTACAATTCCTGAAGTTTGAAAAGTGTTACACCAAAGTATTATTACTATTGCTGTTGTTTAAAAAGCTAAGGCTACCTAAGCAACAGAATGTATAGAGGATTTATATCCAGAGGCAATTTATCACCTTAGTTATACAGAAAGGACTGCTTTGTTTTAGAAACTGGTTTATCTGAATTTAAAAGGCTGTATTGTAAATGATCAGCTCTTGAATTGTAGCTGTAGTAGTGAGCTTCAAAAAAAAAAAAATCATATGATGACGAGAAGAATCCTCATAATTTTGGACCTAATTGTTACATCTTACTTTGGGAACAAATTTTGTCCAGTAAGCAGGAAAAAAAATAACATTTTTGGTTGCCTTGGTAGTAAAATAGACAATTCTGGGAAGGAAGCACATTCTGTTTTGTATCGTACACATGAAGAGGAATTCTCTGAATTGTCCCAACATGTTAGTCAGTAATATTACAGGACCCGCAACATGACCAATTTTTTGCTTTAAATTTTGTGCAGAACAAAAATATCTTCCTTATGACGGACTTCTGCATTCAACACAAATAATTACTATAGATTCAATTCTTGTGTACAAAGTGTACAAAACATTAAATTTCTTTTTCTTTATAGTCTTGCTACTGGGATTTTCCACTGTCCTAAAGGTAAGTAAGTATTTAGGGCCCATTTGTTTTGAGTCTATTTGTATCAGAGCTCCCAACATTTTTCCCTCTGGTTGCACAATCCATTAATCCACTTATAGTGTTACTAGTTATTAACATGCCTCTGTCTGGATATTCCTGCCTGGGCAAGTTGTTCCACCATTTTCCGGAGGTGGATTTGCACATTGTCTTGTGCGGCTTCTAGATCCACTTTGACAAGCTGCCCATGGAGTCCAGCAACTCCAGCTACCTTGGACTGGATATCCTGTAACATAATACAACACAATTAGCAACTTTCAGATAAAGCTAGTTTCAGATTTGTTCGAGATTTAGAATAAAGCAAAGAAATCAAATCCATTCCAGTTTATGGATGAGGCTGGACACTGCTGGCAATTATTACATCAGTAAGAACACTAGTAGCATCATACAGTATAGCATTGCAATACTTGTATATTTCTGGAATTGCTGGAGCTGCTGCTTACTAAGTTCTGAAAAGTTGGATCATCCTTGATCTAAAACAGAGGTCCCCAACCTTTCTAGATTGGCAGCCCAGAGGGAAAGGAAGGGGGAGCCATGGGGCCGCGTATGCGCATAATGTAAACGGGGGCAGCACAAGTGTGCATGTGACACTGGGGTCCGGCTGAGTGCCCGTGCAATGCTGGGACTGGACTTAACATGATGCTGGGGGGGGGCGAGTGCCTGCATGACACTGGGAGGGGACCTAGCACCCATGCAATGCTGGGAGTGTGCCTAGTGCCCACACAACACTAAGGGTGGCCTAGTGCCTGCACAACGCTCAGGTGGGACTAGCTCCTGGGCAATGCTTGAGGCAGGGCTAGCACCCATGCAACACTTAGGGCAGTGCTAATGTGAATGCCAGCCATTCACGCATTCCGGTGGCCAAAAGACCACAGCCCAGTAGTGGGCCATGGCCCACAGGTTGGGGACCCCTGATCTAAAAGAAATATATTCCAGAAAGGAACTAATGCTATTGTATGGCAAGCAAGACCAACATTTTTTTGATATAAGTATGTAGGGAGAGTTCTGTTGAACTAGACAAGGTTTCTCCTAATCCAGTAGCCATCTTCCTTTAGGAATTTATTAGTAGGATATGAAAGTGAAACTAAAGATAGTAACTCCTCTCACCATTGGTCTCTATCAATGGGGAAAAGATCAGAATCGTATTTCTAGAACCTGAAGCATCACACACATATATTCCATCAAGGCCATAAGCCAAGATAGCTTTATCCTGCTAAACAGCAGTGTATTTCTTGTGTCCCTTCTCAGGCAAGGAACAGCCTGTAAAATGAATGGGAGGTGGGAAAATTCAAAGCACACTAACAGTATAACTCTCTTTCTATTTCACTGTATTGAATGTTACAGAGAAGCAGCCAGAAGAGAAATCTGGGACTGTTGCACATTGTGTGGATCATGTGTTGCCTGCCATATATTCATAGTCATAAAAAGGTATAAAATATTTCTTTCTTGTCTTTCAGGTCCTTCAAAACAGATCCTTAAGGTTCTTTGAAGTTTCAACTTTAAACTACAACGGATGAAGACAAAGAGGCTGCTTTAAGAGTTCTTTGCAAGACCTGCCTGTTCATTTTCATATCTGCCTGATTGGAGTGGCAAATTCATTAGGATTGCTTCAGCCTGATCCAAAACAGTGTCAAAAGACAACAGCACAGCAGCATTCTTTTCCTTTGGAACAGTGTTTCTCATCCTCAACAACTTTTAAGATGTGTCAAGCTTCAACTGCCATCATGCTGGCTGGGGGAATTCTGGAAGTTGAAGTCCACACATCAACTTGTTGCTGAGGTTGAGAAACCCTGCCTTAGGCATTAGAAAATACATTGTTATGTAACCAAGCATTTTAATGGGATGGGTACTCTATCTGCTGCATTATTTTCTGTGTATGCTTTACTTATGGGTTATTTATTTGATTCACATACTACCTGTCAGCAACTCTATATTCTAATTTTTCCTCAGACCGAAAAACCTGGGGTATAAGTTGGGCTGAGCCCAGCTCAGAGTCAGAGTAACCCTCAATGTCTGCAACTACACTATAAACCAGGTTTTCCTACTCTTTAATCCAGTACTTAAGCACTATACCAAACTAGCTGTACCTCCTTTTATTTTTGTGCTTTCCCTCTATATATACATAGTGCAGTGATGGCGAACCTTTTAGAGACTGAGTGCCCAAACTGCAACCCAAAACCCACTTATGCATCATCGGGTGCCAGGTGGGTGTGGCCCATTGGGTGGGCGTGGCTGCGGTGGTAACAGCAGACTGGGTGGGACTAAAACATTCAATCAATCAATTCCAACTTTGCAAGATCTTTTTTTTTCCCGTGAGAAGTTGAAAATGATTGATTGAATCTTTTTTTTTTTTTGCACACGGCGACGGAGTCTAAAGTGAAAAGGTTTTATAAAACCCAGCTGAAGGCCTAGGACTGGGGCAACGGCACGCGTGCCCACAGAGAGGGCTCTGACTGCCGCCTCTGGTACCCGTGCCATAGGTTCGCCACCACTGACATAGTGTATGCAATTTAGTTCTCTCCTCTGCAACTCAGCTAAAATAGACTGTAGCTGAACATAAATGCCATACTAAAAGTTCCAAAATAAATGCTGATTTTTGCACAACCACCATAAATGTATGCATTAGATTTGTAGCAGCAAGATATCTTTCCCATCTCCCTTTGTGAATTGAAAGAATTGAAGGCAAGTAAATTACTGACAATAGGCGAACATCAGCTTCTGCTATATATCTATATTATGGGTTTTTGATTGTACAGTGTTTGTGTGTGTGTGTGTGTGTGAGAGAGAGAGAGAGAGAGGGAGAGAGAGAGAGAGAGAGAGAGAGAAATATTCCACATTTATATTAAGGAATTATCTGGAGAACTTGAGTATGAAGTGACTGAACAGACCAGACACAATCCCATAAGGAATTAAGTGTTACCCAGATCCACTAAAATAAATCAATTTAACCACACTTAAATCTGCATAGGCTTAAGCTGCAAGCCTTGGACATCTCCATTAATATTTATTGGGGGCTTTCCTGGGCTCTGTCCTTGCAGTTTCTGAAATGATTTATGCCACTGCAGTAGGCTACTTCAACAAGGTCTTTAGTTAACCCTTCACACTGGCTTGAAATGCCAGTCTGATTCCTGGGTAAAACTCCTTTGGTAGCTTGGTATCCAAGGTGATCCAAGGTGTTGAAGGGAAATGTTGTTTACAGTCTACTGATCTCAGGAGCTCTCATTTAACAATGTTTTCTCAGTAGTCTTACCTGTCCTCTTTGTTTCTCCACAGTCTGGGCCTAGGTAGCCTTGCTTGCACTCACAAAAACAGGTAGTTCCCAGGAGGATTGGTTCACCATTGTTCTTACAGGGACCACAACGGCAGGTATTGAATTCCAGTAAATACTGATCTAAAGCCCTTTTCAAGTTCCTCCTCTTGGTTTCCATATTACCAAGGCTTGTCCTAGACAATAATTCATGTATGGGCTGCAGCTGAGAAAGAACGGAAAAAAGAAAACTATTTTTACATTGTGGTTGTTTTGGGTGTTATCTCAACCTTGGGAATGTTGAAATACAATGCCCAGAAAAGTACCAGGCTATCTTAGGACGGTGAGATTTGTAAACCAATAAATTTAAATGGTGCAAGTACAGAATGGATGGAATGGCAAAATACTTATTTTGATAATCATCTTGATAGATTTTTCCAAAGTATGAATGGCCCCATCTGACTTATCAAGGATTTTCTCTCAATTTTCTCCTCTCTCTTCTAAACTGCTATATGGACTTAAAAAAAATTCCCAAGGAGCAGTGTAAAATCTATTTGTGAGATTCTTATAGAGAATGGAGGAAACAATTGTGATATAGAAGCCAAAGACATCTTGACATTGAGCAAATGCCTCCTATAACTGAAACAGTTGGATTAAATATAGATTTAGATATAAAAAATGTGGATAATGTTTACAGTAAGTCAGATAACTGAAGTTCTCTTAATATATCTTGGACTGTGTTGGAAACAATTGGGATTAATGCTATAGGAATCCATTAGGGGAACAAGAGTGAAAACAAGTAGTGAGCGGTGCATTGTCAATATCTTTTTTTAAATGTCTATTATTATATTTATATTACATAAAGATATCATATATCTTTATATTTAGAAACAGGGATAAAGAAGGAAGAGTTATTTAGTGATTTCAGACTCTGGTGATACTATAGACAGTCTGTTAATCCTCATGTAGGTTTACTTCTACTTCTTATCCTGAATCTTGTATTTTTAAAGGAAATGATGATGTTCTATAAAGGAGATCATCTTTAAAAGAATCTCAGAAAAGAATTTCTCCAATTTCTCTATAAAGCTGCTAGCTGACCTGGAAGATATTGAGCAGGACACAGGTGGCAGCATTAATAGTAGCACCAAAGGCCTTATGGTGACTTTAAGAACTGACATTTTAGTGACTTCAAGTCATTGTGACTACAGAGAATTGTAGAGCACTTCTAATCATTATATGTGGGAGAAAAGGCATCAAGCAACACGCCACGAAGTCTCTTAACCTCTATGTTTCTTCCTGAGAGCAGCCATAAGTTCATTAAAAATGGGTTCCTCATCTGTATCCAATATGATTTCCCAAGTCAAGTCACTTCCTGGAACTACATAGAATATGATGTCTCTATTTATACCAATGTACTACCCAGTGAAGCTTTTGAAAAGAAAGAATGAATCATTCTGTTTCTGCAGCTTTCCTCAGTCTGGTGACTTCTGATACAAAGTTGGCTAAGATTGCTGTCTTATTTTCTGGGAAAGTAGAATTCACGCCAAGGTATAAATAAGTAAATACAAATATAGCATTGATCTCATTTCTGAGGCTGTAAGATCTGAGTGAAAGATTGCTCAATCTATTTGCTCTCTTTGCTGCTTACAGGGCAAATAGCTAAGATGAGCTATCCCAACAAATGAAAGTAAATACTGCAAATCAAAGCAAAAACCAAGTCAAAGAAAAGCAAGACTGTTGCCTTATAGCATGAAATATGGATTTCCCCCTTCTCCAAATATCTTAAATATAATTATTCATCTAATCATCATACAAAAAGTTATGTTGGATCAGACTCTGTTTTTACTGTAGCTAGCCAAAGGACTGAGGGTAACCCAGAAGTCGAAGATGAAAACAGTAGATCTTTCCTAATCAGATGTGTCTTCCACTGATGTCTGGAGGCAACATTGGAGTCATCGTGACCAATTATCATTGCTAATCTTATACACAATGAACATCTATAATATACAGACATTTACACCTATGGGAGCAATGTCCGTAATCACCTGGCTGCAATACAAATGCTTGCCTCTTCTCTATCTGAATTTCTCTCCACTCAACATCTTCAGTGGGAGAACTTTCCCCAACTATTTTGAAGACAGTAGGAGGGAAATACCTCACCAGGTATTTTCTCCACGCTCTGCATTATTTTAAAAATGCTTATTATATACCTTTCTCAGCCTACCATTTTTCCTGAGCTAAAAGCATAAACCTTGCAACTGCTTGGCCTAAGGGACTGTTCTAGTTCTCTTTATCATGCTGATCATCTTTTTCTATAGGTTTTTTTTTTTCATTTTTGTAATATCTTTCTGCAAGGAATGGAACTATACCCAGCATGCCAGAAGAAGCTGGCTTCCCTCATTGATTTGTATAATAGACATTACACTACCATCAGTTTTAATTTTATACTTCTAAAATTTTTGCACTGTTTGCAGTGTGCATTCTTTTCCCTGCTACAATCTGCTTTGAATGTTCTGTGCAAATGGAAAAACAAGATATACACTGAATAAGCTTGCACATATTTTAATCTTGTACTTCCTATTTTAAATATTATGTCATATAATATGCTTTAATTGTGATGCTTCTAACATGAGTAAACAAACAGACCCATTGACCCTTTTTCCAAATGTTTAAAGTTGTCTTTTTTCATCCAAGTTTGCTACTGAATAAGGACAAATTGCCATTGCCATCTAAGGGTTATTGTTTTTTTTTTCCCCAGTTTCTCAATACAGACCACACTTCCTAAATTTTCTGCTTCTCTATTCCAATTTTTAACTAAGCCTGATTCTACTGAGCTTCTGACCAGGTCTGCCATCTGCCAAGACTTTCTAATTGTTACCCAACATGGAATTTACCTTTTACAGCAGTTACCTGCTGGATAAATATTTTCACAGAGTGACAGTTTGCAAGTTCAAGAACCTTTCCGATCAATCATTGGCTGAGATCAAAATGGGCTGTTGGAGACTGTAAAGAAGGTGGGCTCTGAGATTCATATGGAGTGGAGGTCTCTAGCTCATCTGGGCTGCAAAAATCCTGCTGAGTCCCAGATGACAACAAAAACACGCAGGCACCTCTAATTTTTTGCTACTTTTTATTGGTAGCCTGTAGCTGTGCAGCCCAATGCACAGAAGCCTTAGTGTGGAAAGAGTGATCAAGTGACAGAAATACAAATAGTGTGCAGAGTTATGAGGAATGCTGACATAGGCACAGGGGCAGTCTGTTTACCGAGATTTCCCGTAATTCAAGAGGATGAGAGGATTGCTACATAAGACATCCTCCACAAATATTGTTTAAAAAACAATATTTACACAAGAAATATTTAGCAAACAACAGTAGGTCAAACGGAGAGAGCATTCAAGTAGAGATTAGTAATTACTAGATGTCTGAATCTACTCCAAAGCCATCAGCACTTGCGATGCTCCTAAAGCAGTCTTTTAAGGGTTATAGAGTAGGTGACAGGCAAACAGTTTCATTCAGAATTCATGGAAATTTATCCAGTCAGGATGGGAAAGCTGGTCTTGCTTTAGTTAAATAGAAAAACAAAGGAAATGGGGTAACATACAGTACCAGCATTACCTTAAATCAGCACCTTAAATTCTAGAGTTTTAGGATTAAAACTCTAGAATTTAAAGAGCAGTGAGGGTTTTACCGTTCCAAAACATCTGAACATGCCAGAATTGCGGAGCTGAATTATACAAAAAGTGAATTGCATAAAGGTTCTCTGCAAGAAACTGGCAATTAGACGATCTCCAAAATTTCCCTTTGTTTCCCTTATTATTCTGAGCTGCTCAGGGTTTTTTGTATAAGATAGTCAGCTATGTAAGTTTTTGAATAAATAAAATCTCTCTCTAACAGTGAATGTGAAGAACAGGAATATCTCTCTGTTACCACATATATATTGCTATTCATGCCCTTAAAAAAATTCTAGGGAGAAAAGCAGCTGGAGGGGACAGCAGGATATATTCAGAGCATAAATTCTGAATACTTTATGTTCAAGCTAAAACGAATGGTAGCTTAGGGTGATAAACTCCAGAAGAAGAAACAACATTGCTTAAGAAGCTGATATGTCATTTCAAATGTTGTTAAATGGTGTCTTCTTCCAAATGTACAAAGTAACAACCAGCCTGTCCCCTGAACAGATGCATAACAACATCGTTCTAGAAACTTTTGCCTGACAGCTTTAATTTCTTGGATATTTAGCTGCAGCCATTTAATCGTACAGGTGTATCATCATTCCCCCCCCCCCCAGTGGCATTCCACCTTAGAAAATATCCAGTGTACAATTGTGCCATAAGAAAAGATAACCCTGAGAAATGATAACTTCAGAAGCAAAAAAATAAATTGGCAGCCAGAAGTACCAATTTATTAGGTTGAAAATGATGCTGATGTCTGGTTGGGTCACCATTTTCAGGAATGTGAATAATAAATTTGACTCATTATTTACAATTTTGTTACTGCAAACCATGGAATAAGTTTCTATGCTTTACAACTTTATCCCACATATTTGACAGTTAAGTCACAGTTATTTTGGGGATTAAAACTGGAAGTAATTCTTACTATTATGTCAAAAAAGAAAAATGCATTTTTTATTGGTTTGAAGTGGTTATGATGGTCAATTATCAGATTCAGGAGAAGCTTTTGTAAAGTTTTCTTGTTATCTGCAGACTTCTTTATGAAATGAAAATGAAAATGGAAAGGCAGTAGAAAAGGGAAACAATGAGGACATTACTCTAAATACGCCAGATCAATTGATTGTAGATGGAAAATGGTTCAGTTGCCAGAATTCTTGTAACCTCATCCCTTTCTTGTTAATAAATATTGCTAAAGAAAATATATGAGACTTCTGCTTGGATTTAGATAGGGGCAAAGAACCTTACAGCAATGAAAAACTATAAAAGTAGTTCATAGTATCTCATTACATTCACTATGTCTGTTAATTCAATGAATGTAAGATTGATTACATTATGGGTTCTAGATACCGGCCAAGTGTCAAGGATTTTGCACATCATAGTCTACTGTTTTATGTAGTTCAGGTGGTCAGCTGGAATCCTAGTATCTTTATTCTCTCTTGATTGATAGTGTACATTAATAATGTGTAGATTAAAGATCAAATTCCTGAATAAATCCAAGAGTGTTTTAATTGGCAAATATTCCTGGTTCCATGCCTAACTGCATCATATATTAGGCAATTCATATGCTTTAATCCTTTTCAATCCTCCACTTCCAACTGACCTACTATCATTAGAAAGTGTGGGGGTGGGGAAAGAGAGTGATGAATGCTAGTCTGAGAATCACAAGCATTCTAGAACTGCTTTATCTTCTATTTTAAGACATATAATGCACTGATGCCATACTTGCAGCCAGAGCTGAGTATATAGCAATCCAACAAATGAATAATTTCATTTGCTCAGCAACCAAAGGTACAGAACTCTCTCCTTCTAGACAAACCAGAGTCCTATTATATTTCTTGGTGATCTAAGCATGCTGCCAGATAGAAAACCTATGCAAAAGAAAGCCAGAAAAGCTTTTTATGGCTCCTTTTATTTTTTGAGACAAAATGTCCACAATTTATTTCATTTTAAAAAGCCTGTATGATGAGGATGATCTAGCTAGCACAACCTTTCTTCAGCATCTTCTGCTCCAAATGTCTCTATCAACCAGGGAAACAATTAGAAGGATTAAAAATGCAATTGGCTATTTCCACCTCTATTTCTCATTTGAAATAGGATATCTAAACTGCCTGATTGTCAATGCTTCATGTCAGGATTAATGATATCAGTACCTATATTGAAAAAAATGCAGTTCATTCTTCCTTGTTGAAGAACAATGATCCTCAATTTCCTATAAAACGAGTGCTCCTATTCCCACCTTTTGGCAATCTAGTTGCCATGGTGCGATAAACATAACCTTAAACATTAAGAATTAAAGTCCTCTTCTTACCTCTCCCTTACTTTGAAAGTCTTGTTTTGCTTCTTCTTTTTTTTTTTTTTTTTAAAAAAAATACATTTGTATCCTTGTGAAATGGGGAGAAGGTCAGCGTATCTATAGCCCATTACATTTAAGCCTGTTCTAAGATGGAATCACTATCAAAATATAAAATGATCTGCTCCAGTACACTTTCAATCCTTTAGAAATGCGGCATTCTTACACGTAAAAGCAAAGGCTTACCTCAAAATCAATAATGGTGGGATTAAGTTTTAATGACCTCCCCCAGTAGCGGTATGCTACAGAACTCTTATTTTCCATGATTCTGGCAATGGATGAAGCATCTCCACCTTCAACCCGAGGAATAATATCTTCTATTACTGACTTTTTTTCCTTGTCCTCTGGAAAGTTAAAGAGTTGAAAGAATTAGGGTTCATTTCTATGATTCCCCTAATTTTACAGGCATTCATTAATTGAAGTAACTTAAAAGAGGATTACAAGAATTTGGAACAGGCAGTAAAAAAACCTCTATTGATGCTGTTCATCTATAATACATAATTTTAATATGCACAGCTTTTATCAATATAGATATCAAAACTGCACCATAAAGTTGACCACCTTTTTGTGAATTCAAAATATTTTCCCCCGTTATTTTTCCTTCCCCCTTTAATTTGCCATCCATCTTTATGAATGAAATCAATTAATGGCAAGAAATTAGCAAAAAGTGGAATGAGTCCTATGAATTCAAATCATTTTGAGGACATTCCTATATACGGCCTAGCCATTTTATGACCAAGACCACCATGTTCCCCTCATAAACATTTCTCCAAGATTTTTTTCTCCATTGAAATAATCCTTAATTTCTAAGACAAATTGTGTTTTATCAAACAGAATAAGGACCTGCAGCAAGAGAATAAAGTAGAGTTTCATCTGTTTTGCTCTGTGAAGAATAATTTCTAGTGCCTGAGTCCCCTCATTGAAACAAAAACATTTTAAATACGCAAGTGAGGAAGTCTATTTCCTACCTCCGCCCATGCCTCCAGCTGAGCCACATTTATTGAAGTTCACCTTGGTATTTACATCCAGAGTTTCTTGAAATGGAAAACTTAAGCCAATCGAAGCCCCAAAACAGCTATTTACATAATCCTTTTTAATTTCTATAGTAGAGGAAGAAATCATGAATATCATTAGCATGTTTATATCCATGGATAATTGATGAACCTTCATGTCTTAGTAACCAACAGAAGCACAGTAAGAACATCCATATTTGCATTTCAACATTTTTTTCACTGGTCATTGTCTCTAAAATAATGTCTGCCAAGAGTACAACAACAACAACAAAAAAAAAAACAAGATGGCAGGCACAGCCATATGATAAAAGCCCTGTCCTTTTCCACAGGCAAGACAACATTAAAAAGGGTGGAAATTCACCCTTATGTTGTGACAAAGGTGGGAATTTAACTGCATAGCTATAGCTACTTTTTTTGATTCCATCCCTGGCATCTGGTATCTGGAAAGATATTGACAGAAACTAGGTGAATGCATTTCTGCTTTAAAAAAATCCAATATAAATTATATTTCCATAGTTGCCACTGTGTAAGCCATATATGGGATTTGAAAAATAAGAATGTCTAAGAGATGTGTAAAAATAACTGAAATTACGTATTTTTGAAAAAAAAATTGAAATAATTTATCTAAGTCAACCTATATTCAATTATGCTGTTGTTGCTACAAAAAAAGGCATAGACAAGGTTCTGTTCATATTTTTGGTCCTTCAAGAAATAAAAGAAATGTCCAAGAAATTTCTTTGGCTTCCCCTCATAACTGGAAAGGCTGCCATATTTTGAAACACTTTGGAAACTATTCTGAAGAAAAATTTCTCTATTCTTTCTTAAAGGAGTCAAACTTTTTTAAAGTTTCTACATAATGTAAGCCTGAAAAAAACCAGCTGCCCCTGCTTTAAGGAATCCATTCGTTAAAGTTAAAGCAGGCTGTAGAAGGGACTCTCAAAGCAGCAACACCATTGGAAAATTGGAAAAGTTGATTTTTTTTTTTTTTTTTTTTTTGATAAACAGCAAGAAGACACTTTGGTGGATCAAGGCTCAAGACCATCTTCCAAATCATTTTCCAAACCTTCTAAACTTGGGTTTAAATAGAAAATATTGCCTTGTTGCCCAGTATTCTTTGCTACAACCTATCTCCTTTCACTTTCCACTAGTAAAAATGCCTGGAGGAGCAGAGAATACCACTGAACCAACTATGGTTCAGTCCTGTCACCTCAAAAGCTGTGAGAACTTGGCATACCATCCAGCAAGATTTCAAAAGCCATAAAGATTACCAATTTTGAAGGTTGCCTTACTTCCTTTGATGCTTCACACAATGAATAAAGTACATAGGAAATTAATTGCAAGCCACCATACTCTTTATATATATTGTAAGTGCAACCTGCTAGAAACATTACTATACCAAAGGTATTATAAATGCAGCAGTTTTTCCTAACTTGCTACTTTCAGAGGTAAAAATTGTAATACAACATTTTTGAATAGCATCAGCTTAGGGAAGCCAGAAATCATGATAGGTTTCTCCTGTAGAATCTTGCCTATTTTCTTTTAGACCCAAAAGTATTCTTTGTGAAATTTTATGAAATTCTATTCAGTATTTCAACAATTTATTTAATAGACCTCAGACTGATCTCTTTTTTAAAAAATCTTTCTCAGTGAGGAAAATCCATATATGTTTGTTTTGGTAAGTTTGCATTTGCACATAATAGTTAGCCAGTTTTTATTTTAACTATGGTTTGCTGAACAAACCAAGAACAGCTGAAGTCACCGCTTGCTTAACTAATGCCTCATTAATTTTCTCAATTTCTTCCACTGGTACCCATAAGATATAGATGGAGTATAAGAACAAAGAATAAATTGGAATTCGGGCATTTAGATTAAAACAAACCATAGTTTCATTAAACCAGGATTCATAAATCAAAGACGAGCCAGAGTTTCACATTCAGACTTTGTGGGCAAAATAAAGCAGTGTTTCTTAATTGGGCTGGCTTGCACACTATGCTGTCCTTTCTATTGTGACTAAGTATATTCTATCTCTATTGCTTCATGTAATTAGGGAACTAAAGTTTAATGTTTCCCAATGAGCAGAAAGTCCCAATAAAGCTATGACTTGGACTATACTTTGCCATATCTAATAGAACAAAGTCTCCCTACTGCTGAATTTATATTCATTTGCTGCCAACTGACAGAATATTAATAAATCCATAGTATTGTTTGTATTTAACTACTCCACCACTGTTTAACAACACACCTGGGTGAAATCTATTTACTTTAAACAAAAAGAAATGATTAGTTCTTTTCTCAGTGTTTCAACAATATATTCTAGAACCTCTTAAGTAATTAGTTGCAGCAAAGATCTGTCAATACAATTTGTTATTGGTAGTCATGAGAGGATTGCTCCTACTTTGATCAATGGTATGTAGTAGATGTCATAAAATGATCATACAAAATATATTGGCAGTGTAGGAAAAGAGAAAACAAGATTATTTATTGTCTTATTGTAAGTCCAGGGGGCTAAATAGGATACACAAATTAGATGGATTTCTGCTTTTAATTTTAGAATTAATCACAGTGTGAGAAAGTTTCTTTCTGTTATATAATTAGAAATCACAAATACGTTAATGGCATTGCTCTTCTGTGAAACCACACAAGAATAATGATTTGCTCTGAAACAAAAAAATCAAAGTAATCTTTGAACAATTTTTGTAACTCTATTTTTTATTTTTTTTTTAAACTGAATCTTCATCAGAAGATAGAGAAATGTAGGTAGCTAACATTTACACTTAGTCCAAAATCTATTACATACAAACATGTATATTTTGCTTTGTTCTCTCTTTTTCTTCTCCCATAAAAAATTTCTCCCCAAAGAAGCCTTAAAAGTCTTCCATAAAAAATAATGAAACCAAATTTCAATAAAACAAATTAAACAAAACAAGCAATAAAATCACTAATGCTAAAAAAATGTATCTATATACCGTATATGCCGGTGTATTAGGCGACCTGGCATATAAGATGACCCCCGTCTTTATCGCCGAGCCGCATTCCTAGAACGTCATCTTATATGCCGGAAACTACCAGTATTTCTGGCGTATAAGACGACTCGGTGTATAAGACTACCCCCATCTTTGGCGCCAAGTTTAGCGCTTCCAGAAGTCGTCTTATACGCCGGCATATACAGTATGCCTCAATATATATGAATTAAAACAATTTTTTTTAAATACAAAGGCTTAGTCAGGAGGTCCAAATGAAATATCCATCTATCTATCTGTCCACTATCTATTTACCTACCTACTTTTCTAGTTATTTTGATTTATACTTTTAGTTTCCTAAACATATACCGATTGTATATGAATGGCTACAATAACTGATATATAAACAGTGGCTTTGGTAAGAGAGAGGGGTGGCATATAAATTTAATAATAAATAAAAATACCATATAATGCCTATATGAACCAGCCAACTGCTTGTGTTACATTCTAGAAAACTTTTCTGTCCAATTTCAATTGCATCACATCTATAAAGAAGGATGTAAGATACTACAACATAACATAAAAATTAAAAACAAGTATTTCTGCATCAGACCAGTGACTCATTTAGATCACCAATTTTTGTCACTGTCTATATCCTACTGTAAGAAATTGGAACGCCATGCACAGCAGGGATCGATAATTCCAATAAAGACCTACCTGATCTGCATATGATGTTTTTAAAAGCTACCTTCATAGCTCAGCAACTCCTAGCTTACTGTGGCTACTAAACATGTTACAAATCCTTTATTCTTGAGTTCAAAAGGCATGCTAAAGTAATTCTGCTGCCTGAGGCAAAGGACAATAGTAATAGCAATGGTACTTAGACTTATATACACTTCACAGTGCTTTACAGCCCTCTCTAAGTGGTTTACAGAGTCAGCATATTGACCCCAACAATCTGGGTTCTCATTTTACTGACTTCAGAAGGCTGAATCAACAGTGAACTGGTCAGGATTGAACTCCTGGCTGTGGGCAGAGTTTGCCTGCACTACTGCATTCTAATCACTGTGCCACCAGGGCTCAAGATGGCACACTGAACACAACTCACAATAAGTCATACTGACAGGAAAGTTAAGCTTGGAGAGAGAAAAAAACCTCTTTTTGTTGTTGAAGGAGTAACCAGTAGAAAGCTAAACTTGCACATTGGGTTCATTAAAATATGCCCCTACCTTTAAGCATCATTTGGCAATTAACGTGCCTGCCAAGGCAAGGAGTGTGAAACTACCCCTTAAGAGTGTATTTCTGCCTTCGCTTCATTGAGTCATCCATACGTGATAGTGATTGCATCCATCACCAGCTTTTTCAGAAGAAGGGAAACAAACCCATAATTCTAGAGAAACATTTGCTTTCAGACACCATGAGCAGCACTAAAGCAAAGGGCTGACATTCACTGAACCACAGATTTGCTTCTCCTGACTCAACAAGGCACTTAACTATAGCACTGGCTTGATAAATGTGTCTCTTTTTTTATAGTCTGCTGCTGTGGGTGAAAATTATACAAGTATCCTACATAAAAGGAAAAAAATATTTTTCTCCCGGGGCGCATTTTTTTGTTGTCTGTTTTAGGACTCCCCTCCTCTTTCCAAAGGGCCCACCTTCTTGTATAAATCACACCCTTTCTGAAAGGCAGGGAGCAAAATGTAAGTATTAAAGTCCACTGGATCCAGTGGTGGGATTCAAATATGTGAAAAACTGGTTCTGTGTGGATGCCACTTCCAGAAGTCCATTCTGGACTTGGGCAACAAAAAATTAGCTACCAGTTCTGCCGAAGTGGTGCGAACTGGCTGAACCCCACCACTGACTGAATCCACAGCCTGACTAGATGGACACTATTCAATATTGCAAGCTCCGAGCTTATTACCATTTATTTATTTATTTATAAAATTTATAGGGTACCCATCTTACCACAAGGTACTGGGAAAAAACAATAGCCTTTTCCATAGGGGGTAGCACTTCAGTACCATGTGTATGCACTGATTTTTATTTTTTATTTTTTTGCACTAATAAGCTTGCACTAATAAGATATCATTTATGTGGATGGCTGGAGTAGTGAAAAAGCATGCCAAGAAATGCTCAAAATGCAAACAAATCCACATAGTACAGGAATCTTTAAACTTGGCAACTTTAAGACTTGTGGACTTCAACTCCCAGAATTCCTTAGCTATCTAACAAAATGAAATTCAATAGTGAAAAAAGTAAGGTTCTACATTTAGGCAAGAAAAACCAAATGTACAGGGATAGTATAGGGGGTACCTTGCTCAATAGTACTAGTAACTGTGAGAGGGATCTCGGAGTCCTAGTGGACAATCACTTAAATATGAGCCAGCAGTGTGCTGCAGCTGCCAAAAAGGCCAACACAGTGCTGGGCTGCATTAACAGAGGGATAGAATCAACATCACATGAAGTATTAATACCACTTTATAATGCCTTGGTAAGACCACACTTGGAATACTGCATCCAGTTTTGGTCACCATGATGTAAAAAAGATGCTGAAACTCCAGAAAGAGTAAAGAGAAGAGCAACAAAGATGATTAGGGGACTGGAGGCTAAAACATATAAGGAACTGTTGCTGGAATTGGATATGTCTAGTTTAACGAAGAGAAGGATGAGGGGAGACATGATAGCAATGTTCCAATGTTCCAAAGAGGAGGGAATCAAGCTATTCTCCAAGGCACCTGAAGGCAGGGCAAGAAGCAACAGATTGAAACTGATCAAGCAGAGAAGCAACCTAGAACTAAGGAGAAACTTCCTGACAGTTAGAACAATTAACCAGTGGAACAACCTGTCTCCAGAAGCGGTGAATGCTCCAACACTGGAAGTTTTTAAGAAGAGACTGGACAGCCATGTCCGAAATGGTATAGGGTTTCCTGCCTGAGCAGGGGGTTGAACTAGATGACCTCCATGGTCCCTTCCAACTTTATTATTATTATTAAGTCTTAAAGTTGCCGAGGTTGAAGACCCCTGAGAGAGTACAATCCTCATTTAAATCCCTTTCCCTGCTTCTGCTCTGAAAAGCTCTCCAGCCATCCTTGAGTCTGCAGAAAAGTATACAAACATAATAGTGTGACTTTCAACTGGTCCTTGTTCTTATGACCATTGCAGCATCCTCACGGTTACATGATCAAAATTTGGGTGCTCTGCATGTATTTAACAACAGTTGCAGCATCCCAAGGTCATTTGATCACCATTTGCGACCTTCCCAGCTGACAAGCAACGTCAGATTCACTTAAAGAGTACATGATTCACTTAACAACTATGGCAAAAAAATAAATCATAAAATTGTGATCATAAGTTGAGGAGTACCTCTATATGCTTCATGTAGAAAAGATGCCAACTTCATTTCTGTTAACCTCAGCTCTAACCAAGGAAGGTGAGGCTTAGATATAAATTTGGAGACTAGTATAGGCTCATAGGAATAATACTCGGGATTGAAGTCTAAGCAAAAGAATCTCCAGTTAACGCCATCCCACACTGCCATTCCTTCCTCTACTGCATCTTCGTTCCCCGCACCCAGGAGTCATGGTGGTGCAGTGGTTAGAATGCAGAATTGCCGGCTAATTCTGCTGACTGACAACTGTCAGCAGTTCGACAGTTCAAGCATCATTGGCTCAAGGTTAACTCAGTCTTCCATCCTTCCGAGGTCAGTAAAATGAGGACCCAGAGATGCTGATTCTGTAAACTGCTTAGAGAGGGCTATACAGCACTGTGAAGTGGTATATAAGTCTAAGTGCTATTCCTCTGGCTATCCTTCCCTTTTAAAAACATCCTTTTTAGGGAAAAGCAGTATTCCATGCAAGGAAACAAGGTCACTCCTAATCTCATAATCATCCACTCTCAGCTCTTTGATGCATTGCTTGGAAATGTGAGACTTAGACAATGTATTTCTCCACTTGTTCGTACTGCAAAACCTCTTAATTCATAGACTTGTAGTCCTTGCCTTACAACCACAATGGAGCCCAATATTTCAGTGCTTTGCAAGATAGCTGTTAAATGAGTTTTGCCCCATTTTACGACTTTTTGTGACATGGCTGTTAAGTGAATTACTGCAGTTGGTAAGCTTGTAACATACTGTAGTTGTTAAGTGAGTCTGGCTTCCCCATTGACTTTGCTTGTCAGAAAGTTGCAAAAAGGGATCACATGACCCTGGGACACTGCAACCGTCATAAGTGCATGCCAGTTACTAAGTGTCCAAATTTTGATCACATGAACCATGGGGAAGCTGCAATGGTCGTAAGTGTGAAAAACTCCCATAAGTCACTTTCTTCAGTGCTGGTGTAACTTTAAACGGTCAGTAAACAAATGATTGTAAATCGAGGACTACCTGTATTGGTAATCCAGAACATGAGTTTTATAATCAATAATAGTTTTTATCACCTGTCCAAAAATCGTAGAGCAAAACAGATTTACCTCCAAATTATACCTGAAATCTGTCTCAAGTTATTATAAAAGGATAAGACCGGGGTTTATATTTTTATGAAATTGTTTATACTATTTAGCTGAAGTCCAGATATTCCCAGTTGTGCAAATTGAATATATCCCCTTTTGAAAATAATACAAGCTGAATAGAGGACTGGGGCATTTTGGTGCGTATCTCTGTTGTGCTTACGCTTCCTGCTATGGACACAGCTTGCCTCCCCTGGATTTGGGCAACTTTCCTTTGTTTGTGTAGAATAATTCACAGGTTTTGACTAACTCAGTCTGTCGTTTACCTCCCATGCATTAAGCAAACAACAATCAATTTCTCATTGTTAATGTAACTATGGAAGCAGTTAACAGCCCTTGTAAATATAATCTATACTAAGATGCTGTAATTCAAATCTGGATTGCCTTGAACTGATCTGTAAAAGTATAGCAGTATAAAGACTTCAGATCTGCAACTGATGGCCATGGCACAATGCATTCAGACAGAATCTATGGGGGTTATGTCCCCCCCAAAAATGTTGCAGCTGGTCAGAAAAATTCCAAGAATAAAGAGAGGCAGAAGATTATTGGACTGCCAACTCCGAGGCCTTCTGGGTTCATGTAGGCAAGACAGTCTCAAGGAAATAAATGTAGTGGCCTAGATTAAATAAATAAGGGTGCTTTTCCCCCCACACATAACAAAACAGAACAGGTGAGCACTTTGCACTGTGAGATCCCTGGAAACACTGTTTCTCTTTTGGCAAAAATAAAAATCATTAGTACAGCTATCCACGTGCATTACATTTCCATACATAGATCTGCAGAACAGATGTCTTCCTCCGTACTAGTCAGCCTGGCCATCAAATATTAAGATTTTATATCTATATTTTCTTTTTCTTTCCCAGTCCTCCATTCCTTCATTTTAGCATCTTTTTTAATAGTAAATCGGAGGGCAGGTAGTGTTTTCAGATAGAAATATAAGATACCAATCCTGAACCAATGGCTTTAAGCCTATAGGTGTGCCTTGATGTATAAAGTTCCCTCACTGAACAGTATATAAAATAAATGTGCAAACCTGAGCTCGTCATTTTGTCTTTGTTCACAACAAGGATGTATTCAAAGATGCCTCCAATAGTTCCAGATGTCATGAAATGGGTGCCATAATCATCAATAAATCTGCTGTACATCCCGTAATTGTATTCCTCTGGGAGCTCTATCAGAGACTGCAACATGTCTTCATCCAAGTATATATTATCACGTCTCATCTTGAAACGTGCTGTTTGTACTTTAGTTTTGGCTCTAATAAATCCTACATTCTGGGAAGTAAGTAGATAGCTAGTTAGCAGACAGACAGAAGTTACAGATAGTCCTCAACTTATGACCCTAATTGAGCTCAAAATGTCTGTTTGCTAAGTCAGACATTTGTTAAATGAGTTTTGCCTCATTTTACGACCTTCCTTGCCACCGTTGTTAAGTGAATCACTGCAGTTGTTCAGTTAACAACATGGTAGTTAAGTGAATCTTGCTTCTCTATTGATTGTAACCATCATAAATATGAATCAGTTGCCAAGCGTCTTAATTTTGATCACATGACCTTGGGATTGCTGCGAGGGTTGTAGGTATGAAAAATAGTCACAAATCACTTCTTTCAGTGCCGTTGTAACTTTGAACAGTCACTGTTATAAGTCAAGGACTACTTGTATATCCAGTTTTTGCATGGGAGATAAGTAACTAATTAGTTAGCAGACAATGACAAATTATACTCTGAGAGTATAAGTCTCTGGGAGGTAAGTAGAAAGCTAGTTAGCAGTCAGAAACAAGTTAAACTGAGTTTTTGAAACATGGGCTTATAATCATATGCAAAGTTCAATTTATTTATTTATTTATCTATCTATCTATCTATTTATTTATTTATGACAATTTACATGGCCTCAGTGATTCCAGGCAGCTTACAAAAATAAAATAAAAAAAAACAATAACACAAATACAATATAAAAAGTCATTACCACCCACCTCCTCAGTGTCAACAATCAAACGAGCTATTTGACAGGGCCATCCCACTTTGGGATCTCCAGGCCCATTGGCAAAAAACCCTCTTTACTTGTTTCTCTAACCTCAGGAAATTATTTCAAAGTCCTGCGTTGTAAGCAGTTCCTATACAAGACTTCTAAAAACTGATCAACACCAAGCTGTTCACATTTCTTGATTTCCAAGATTTCCTAAATCATAAGCAAAATAATGGCTTCCTGCAACTCCGGTTTTCTTAAATTAAAGTAGGAAAGACAGATTTGCTGTTGGAACACGTTCTCTGACAACTGTTGCCTGATGAATAATTCTAAATATTTTTCAACCATTATCATTTATATATTTAAGATCAAGGAAGGAGGATTGGAGGGAGATAGTATGCAACATTTTTCATAATTTTATTCTCCATTATAATGCTTCTTTTTACTTCGGTGCAATAAGAGCAATAGCAATGTTGGTCATCTCACATGTGCAGTTACACACATAAATTAAGATATGAGTATTCCTGATTCAAGAGGGGCATGTGACTGATTTGATTTTAAAAAAATTAACAAGGATTGAGAAAGATGAGCTTTGCTGTTGTATTACCTTTTCTTTGTATTGAGTAAAATTGTTCAGGGTCCCTGAAGCCTTTGATAAAGTTAAGCCCAGTTCCAGAGACACAGGAACGCTAGCAGGTCCTATGCCAACTGTAAAACCAACATTTCTAGAGGTGTCTTTTTTGATGGCCCTCAGTAACTCTGCAGAATCATCATAATATTCTGAAGAGACACCAGTATCAGCCTGAGCCTGAAATGAAAAGATAATATGTTGGATTAACATCAATGGATTCTCTTTTGCCCTAGTAGAAGAGGGGTGGGGAACTATGGCCCCTTTATGACCTGTGGACTTCAATTCCCAGAGCATGGATGGCTCAGGAGTTCTGGAAGTTGAAGTCCACAGGTCATAAAGAGGCCATAGTTCCCCACCCCTGCCCTAGAAGCTCCAAATTTCAGCCTAGGCACACCTAATTTATCCTCTCTGAAATCTTTGCAGCGTCAATTTCTAAGCTATTTGGGGACAGCATAAACAAAAAGACAACCCCTTTCATTTTTTTAGCTTCTGCCAGCCAATGTGGTACTGTCTTAATGTTATTCAAATGATGTTGGCCACTCTGGAATTAATCTTTGGTGAGTGAAAAAGAGTCCTTTGTTAAATGAACACATATGCATGCAAGTACTGTGGGGTTCGTTGGGATCTCTGGAGGGGTAATATTTGAAAACAGCAATAGCAATAGCTCTAAGACTTAGGTACCTCCTCATAGTGCTTTATGCACTCTCTGGGAGGTTTATAATGTCAGCGTATAAAGGATGAAAAGCTGAGTCAATCTTGAGCCCGTCAGGATCAAAGTCCAAACTGAGGGCAGAGTTTGTCTGCAACACTGCATTCTAAGCACTGCACCACCAGGACTCAAGATAGTGGTAGCAGTTAAGTGATCAAAGCCACATAAAAATGCAGTGCAGGACCCTCCTGATGTTTCATAAGAACCTTAAGACCTGGTTCTGCCAGATGGGTTAGGGACCCAATGGGAGAGTTTAACACTGGAAGTGGTTAACTAATTAAAATTCTATGCCACGTCCTTGTGTCCAGCTCCCTTCTTTGCCAACTTGTGCCCATAATTTTATCTGTTAATGTTTTTATCAGCTGTGTTTTTTACAATGGATGATTTTAATGTTTTTCAATGTTTTTTATATTGTAAGCCATCCAGAGTTGTTGGATATGAGATAGGTGGCAAGTAAATTTTATAGATAGATAGATAGATAGATAGATAGATAGATAGATAGATAGATAGATAGATGTGTGTGTGTGTGTGAGAGAGAGAGGGGGGGGGAGGTTGTAAACACCATTTTGAAATTTGTATCCTTATTGTAGATGCCCCTGCCCCACCTCATTCCCAGTCTCTATATATACTGTTAATCTTCCACTGAACTTGGAATTAAAGGCCCATCGCATATTCACACGTCTACAAATCTAGGTGATATATTGATGAGAATATAGAGTAACAGAGTTGGAAGGAACCATGGAGGTCTATTAGTCTAACCCCTGCTCAGGCAGGGAGCTCTATATTACTTCAGACAGCTGGTTGTCCAATCTTTTCTTAAAACCCCCCAGTGATGCAGCACCCACAACTTCTATAGGCAAGCTGCTCCACTGATTTTGTCCTCACTGTCAGGAAATTTATCCTTAGTTCTAGGTTGGACCTCTCTTTGTTGAGCTTCTATCCCTTACTAACCTGAGGTGCTTTGGAAAATGTGTTGACCTCTTCCTCTTTGTGACAGCCTCTCAAATATTGGAAGACTGCTATCATATCACCTCCTAGTCCAGGGGTTCTCAACCTTGGCAACTTTAAGACTTGTGGACTTCAACTCCCAGAATTCCTCAGCCAGCTTTGAAGCAAACAAATACTCATGAATAGATCATTAACTCACTTAAAATCAATCAATCCAGAATAGGTCTTCTTCTCAGTGTCTTGGATGACATTGATGATGCTTTTTTATATATAACTCCAAGCTTTGCTGGCTGAGGAATTCTGGGAGTTGAAGACCACAAGTCTTAAAGTTGCCAAGGTTGAGAACCCCTGTCCTAATCCTTCTCTTCATTAGACATTCCCAGTTCTAATAACTGTTCATCGTACAGTTTAGCCTCCAATCCTCTAATTATCTTTGTTGCTCTTCTCCACACACTTTCTAAAGTCTCAATATCTTTTTCTGTACTGTGGTGGCCAAAACTAGATGCAGTATTCCAAGTGCAGAATAAAGTGATACTATACTGCATCTGGATCTAATAATACACAATGCTACAACGGTGCTAATAGGCTAGACTTTGCAGTACTTTAGGTGAAATTGCACAAGGCAGAAAACTGACTTGATTCCTGCAATAGGTCATTCAGAGTTTCCATTCTGGCCTCAGCAGTAGGGGACCAAATCCTGGCCTCAGTTACCACATTAGAAGCAAGCAAATACTCATGAATAGATCATTATCTCACTTAAAATCAATCAATCCAGAATAGGTCTTCTTCTTAGTGTCTTGGATGACATTGATGATGCTTTTTTTATATAACTCCAAGCAATGAACTTGCCTAATACCATTCAACGTATAATTCTACTGCATTAGATCTTTCCTTGCATAGATCCAGTGCTATTGAATCCTTAACATTAAGCACACACATACGCCCACATACTTACTAGAAATTGATAGAAGTGAACATTGTAGGATTTTCGAAAATATTTCTCATCATCGCCATAATACAAATGTTCACATGTCGAATCATACTTCAGCTCTCGCCATTCTCCATTATAAACAGTTTCACACTGGCCCCCAAAGTACTTAGGGTCATAGACTAATAGTGCTGGCTTTTGTGTAAGGATGTTGAATCTTTAATAAAGGAAAAGGAAAGCAAATAGGTAAGCAGTGTTGGTGTGTTCTGTGGCAAAGGGTGTTCCACTTCTTAAGCATCCTAGAAACTCTCTCTAAAAAAAAAAATCTGGGGGGTGATTCAGAGGCAAGCCGATTAAAGCTGTGATTCTCTATTTCCTTACTTATAAATATGTGTAATTGATTTTTATTTCTGACTAGACACATAGATGACAACACAATAAACTGGTACAAGTTGTAAAAGTTCTCAGTTTGCACCAAAGCAGATTAGAATGAAGGCCTTTTTAATACTGAGTGCATGAGAAGTGACAATTGTTCACATTTACTTTTTTATTCTTTGCACACTTTTATGGCATTATTGTCTTCGGGGTGCAGTTGTATGAATATATTTGATAATGCATTTGAAGTATGTGTCATAGTATGGATACATTTTTGAGCATACTTTTGAAATGTTTTCCATTTGGCACAAATTAGTTTGTGCTAAAATCCTGTGCCTACTTATCTAGGAGTAAAATTCAATGAAATGCTAAGGGGTGTATCTCTGAGTAAATATGCAATTAACATTTTGACATGCCTTCGTTGCCAATTTAAAACCCACAGTATGTTGACTTCCAGTTTGCCATCAGACTTCTGGTTTGCCATTGCGGCCGCTGCAGCCGCTGGAAGGCAAGCTCCGTCTTCCGCGTTCGGTTTCATTCCGCTGGGGACCCTGGAAAGGGTCGAAATTCGCCCTCTAAGGACCACCTTGATCGCGGGGGGGTGGCAGCCCTTCTGCTTGATCCGGGCATAGGAAAGACTGGCCATAGCAATATGGCTCGTCACTAAGCTACAGACTGCCAAAGTCAAACTTACCACCAGGCACTGAGTGAGATCCGATCTTCTTTCTAAGATCCTAAGTATTTTTCTTCCTGTAAAAGCTGGCCAAAGTATTTTTCTCCCTGAGGAGAGAGGGAAGGGAATTTCTATCCCACCCTCTAAGAATAGCGGCGACTGACTACCCAGGGGAGTTAAAGCACTAAAAGAATAACTTTAATTTAATTGGATTTATATGTTTCTGAAACCTGGGGACCAAAAGGTGTCTTATTTTTACTGAACACTTTTGTTTTTATCTATAAGAAATAAAATTGGAAAAAGGACTAAAAAAACTTTGGACTTAAAAATCTTAAGCGGCATCGGTGACATTTTGTGGCGAAGCTTGGTATTACAACTTGTTGTTGCCTAAAGGAGACTTGGTTTGAAGCCCAGATTACAGATAAGACTCTTTTAACTTTGATAAACACCACCTGTGAGACGTTCAGCTGTAAAGAGAACTTCTGGGTGGCATGGTTGGCCTCCTTGAACTATGAATGTTAACCTTTATTGATTTTTAGAGCTTTATGTGGGGAATTGCCTTCCTACTTTTTTATCTGAGGAATATTGGTCTTTATTTGAGATGATGAAATACCTTGGATTATAAAATTTTACTTGACAAATGACTTTTACTATAAAGACTACCTACAAACACATGAAACAGAGGTCCCATACCCATCTATAAAATTATTTTTATCATCTGACTTCAAAGTCCTCAACTTAACCCACCATTAAGAGAAGATGGATGAAGACCAGGAAAAGATTGTTTCCATGTTGAAAGCAATACATGAAACCATCCTTTCAGCTTGTGATGAAATAAGATGTTACAGAAAAGAACAAGATGTCAGCTTAGATATACAAACCCAAATTCCAACTACAACTAAAGAACTAACAATGCAGAAGGTAACCGAAGAAGCAGAACAATCAAATACTAAGACAGAGGACTCAATTGACCAACAAATACAGTCATTGGAATATTCAGAAAAGGGACTGACAACACTGAAAATGGAAAAGACTTTCTATATAAATCAGAAGAAATTTGAGGAGCAAGAAGAAGAACAGAATGAATGGAAGATAAACATACCAGGACAATTATGGGGATTTGGAATAATAGGGAGACAATTTAAGAAATAGAAATGGGCTAGCCCTACCAAAAAATGGCAACTAAATGGTCTTTCTTATTCCAAACAGTATATATAATAATAGAAGGAGATATATTTGATGATTTAAAAGCATTGACAGGGAAGGCTAGTTGGCAAAGAAAAAAAGCTAGAATAAGGCTGAAGAAAATTGGGGTTTTGATTTACCAGAGGGGAATTCGTATTACTAATTAGAGGGTCAAAGGGAGAAGTTGAGATAAGGGAAATTTAAAACATTTGGAAATTAGTTGAAAATAAGGATGCTATTTGTTTAATACTTAAAAATTAGACCTAAAAGAAAAAAAATTAATATGTTTGATTTATTAACTCAGACAATATATATAAATAGACTTTGATTTATTAAAGGGGATACTATATTTTTAATTAGATGTTGTAAGATGGGGGAAAAGATAACTTTTAGGAAATAGAACAAGATTATACTCAGATAAGATGTGTATTTTGAATATCAGATTCGGTTATGAATTGAGATAAAGGAAACTTTGGTTACCTAAAACCTGGAAATTATAAATATCAAATGTTAAATTTGAATATTGATGGAAAACTAAAAATTGGGAAAAACTAATAACAGGACATTGATTGAATGTAAAGATTGAATATAAAAGTAATTAAGATATGTATAAGCTAAAAAATTATTGATAAATGTAATAATGATGTTTTTATTTAGTTGATATAATAAGAACTGTATTAGCTTAAACATGAGATAGTAGATAGTAAGGGAAAAAGAGAGGAAATATTTGAGGTTGTAGTTTGAGATTTGTACTAAAGATTTTTGTATGTTACTGAACTATTGATGAACCCAGCCACCATGTTGCTTTTTAAATACCTAAATGTAAAATTGGAAAATTAATAAAAATACTATTAAAATAAATAAATAAATAAAACCCACAGTATGTCATCTTTGTATCCCGTAGCTGCAATATCTTTTTCTTTCTCTTCTTTGACAGACATGCACTGGAGAACAGAAGTCCAATTTTGTTCCTTAAACGTCAGATTTCCTTGAAATTGCAGCTATGCCAACACCTTTCCCCTAGTTGCACTTATAAGCAACTGGTTATAGTTAACCTAAAATAAAAGTAGTCCTCAATTTGAAACTTTTCATTTAGTGACCAAAGTTGCAGAGGCATTGAAAAAAGTGACTTAGGATCCGTTCTTGCACTTGCGACCATGACAGCATCCTCATGATTACATGATCAAAATTTGGGCACTTGGCAACCTGGCATTTACTTATGATGGAATCCCGGGTCACGTGATCACTATTTGTGACCTTCCCAGCCAGGTTCAAACAAGTCAATGGGGAAGCTGGATTCACTTAACGGTTGTGTGATATAATTAAGTGCAGTGATTTGCTTAAGAAGTGTGGGGGGAAAAAAATCAGATGCAGCCACCTTGCTTGGCAATGGAAATTCTGGTCCCAAATGTGTTTGTAAGTTCAGGACTACCTGTGCTGTAACTTGGTAATTGCTGAGGAACTTTCCTAGTTGTGTTGTGTTTGGTTCTACTATAGGATTAGCCTGTAGGTTTGAACCACTGGGCTCTTGGGCTGTTTGTGCACCATCGGACAGGGAGGCATTAGTGGCACCAAGGGGATGATCCAAACAGTAGAAACAAGGCACATAATTTCCCCGTGGCAGGACAGACGTAAAGAATGGTAACAATAAAGGAGAATATTTGTAGCTTGGGATTGAAAGGAAGCTCCTTGGTGCTCTCTGAGTTTGGTTGTTTCCTTGCAGATGTTTCATTTTCCAAACTACGTAACATCATCAGTGTTAGTCTATATCGAACTGCTTATAAGTAGTAGCTCAGGAGGTTGTGGCCAGATTATTTCCCAAACCTATTTTTGTGGATTCTTTATTTTATATTTTTAATTAAGTAAAAGAAACAACAAAAGGGAAAAGAAAGAAAAATGGAAAGAATGCATACATAAAATGAACTTTACACTAGAGAGAGATGAAAATATGGTTATAAAAAGTTTGGTTAAAGTTTTTTTTTAAGGCAAAAGAGATGAAATAATGAAGAAAAAATATAGGAAAAAGGACCCTAATAGCTGCCTTCTCCCCCCTCCCTGTTCTTTCTTTTCCTCCTTTCCTTCCTTCTTTGAAGTTTCATATCATTCTATCCTACAATTTTTAAAAATTGTTTTGTCTCTGTGACATATTTGAATACAAATATGTAGATACATCTTTAAAATGACATTGATTCTACATAAGTATTTAAAATTCTGTCCTCTTTTTCAGCATCCTTCCTTTATTAATATCACTCATTTTTCCAATTATTTGCATATATTTGTGCATTCTATATAAACCCTTCTGTCCTTGCGTAATCCTATTTAGCCTACTAAGGACAGACTGCACAAACCATGCAGATGCTGTGTTGTCAAACTCATAATATTTGTCTTTTGGCCATTATTATTGTATTGCTAATAATTTTAGTAAATTATAAACATCAGACTTCTTTTTAAAGGAATTTATGAGTGCTGTGAGGATGATAAGCTGTCAAAACAGTGTTTGGTTTTAAAGCCAGAGACATTTTCTCCTAGATGAAAGGATGATGTAGATGCACTGAATAATTCTCAGTATTTAAAACACAATGAAAAACCAGGTAAACTTTTATTTATCTAGAGAATATAGTCTATTTTTTAAATTTGATGTAATGGCTTCTTGCCAAAGTGAACTATTATAGAACCGATTAGATGAAGAATCTATTCCTATGGTATCTATAAAGTCTCTATCCTAACTTGGTTGCGTTCTAAAATGTTCATTTCAGAATATAGCACAATATGATGGATAAAAATAAACATTTTTCTGGCATATTATGTAAATGAAGCAGAAAAAAATAATGCTGTTCTATTAAAAAAAATCTGAAATTTTTCAACTACTTCTTAATTTGATGAGGAACAACATTTTGGCTTGCCATGGAAATGTTGATGAGAGTGTATAGCTGGGAAATGGCCAAAGGGCATATTTGAATGTATTGTTTTTCCTTATGCAGTCATCTCTTCAATCAGGGGTCTCCAATCTCTTAGGTCCCACAGACTGTAAGCAGCAGTGGCTTCGGTGGTGTGGAGGAAGGAATGGTTTCACACACACACACAACATAAATCCTGTGCATGTGCAAAAGAAACTTTGCATGCTCACCCGCAACTTTGGTTCCCAATGGGCTGCAGGTCGATAGCACTTCACTGTCCCGGGGTTAGGGACCCTGTCTTAAACAGTCAGCAGCCTAAATCCCATAAAGGGAATTCCTTCCATTGGGGTTTTTATAGGAGCAAGGCTGCGCATCCACCTTGCAACTATTTTATACAGCATCAGAATAAATTCTAAAATCACAGACACCAAGAGAAGGAGGTAGAAAATTGAAAACATTTTCATACTGGAAGCAAACTTAACCAAAACCGGAAGTAAGATTTTTGGTTCTATTTGATTAAAAAAAAAATGATCTAGGGAGAACAAATTCAACTTACCCACTTGAAACTCGTTCAATTCCTGGGACTGGATCTGGATATTCACATGTACTTACAGCACCATCACAATCAGTTTCATCAGATCCATCCCTGCAGTCAAGCTCTCCATTGCATACTAGGTGACGTTTAATGCAGCGCCCTGAAATACAAATATTGTTATATATCTATTTCTGGAATCTCTGCTTGGTCTAAAGTTGGATTTAAAGGTCTTTTCCACAGATCCATAAAAATAATTTGGGACAGATTTTTCACATTCTTGCTCACCTTACACTTTAACACCTTTGACATAAGCCAAAGGTGTTTATGAAGAGTATTGTAAGTTCAATAGCTGCTCCTTTTCGGAAGAAGTACATCTAGGTTGCTAAGAAACATTGGACTTTGCACATAATGTTAAGCTAGGTTGTTTAACTGTGGCTTGTGACCAAATCATAATATCCTGCTAATAACAAATTAGCACTTATATAAATGGGCCTGCACATATATAATGTTAAGCAAAAAGAAAACCAGTCATATTATGGCTCAGTACTATGAATGAACTAGACCAGTGATGGTGAAGCTATGCCATGTGTGTCAAAAGTGACACTGCACAATGTTTTGGGTGACTAAAACACCCTAATACGACTATTGTCAAAAGCACACCATTTTTGCCTGATTTTTGGAGGCTGCAGGAATCACATGAAAATAAGTGTGCTCTAGACCCTCTGAAAAATCAAGGGTCATGCAATTGTGCAACCTTCAGAGTGTCTGAAAATCATACAAGAATGGGGTGTGCTTTTGTGCAGTATTCGGAGGCTGCATTCTCCAAAGCCGCTTCAAGAATGAAGGCCTCCTTCAACCTGTAGCTGCCTCTAGTGGGCGCCACAGGCCTGTCAACAGAAAGACAACGTTGTCTGAATTGGATTGAATTTTTCATCAGCAAAGTCAATTTAGGCCCAAAAAGTTCATCATCACTAAACTAGATTATGAAGTGTACAAAAATGAAACATAAAGTTTTTATTCTTTGCTCTCATTTCAACAGCAAACAACAAAAATCTGTCTTCAAAGTAATTTCACCATCACTGTCTTTTTCAAGACTGGTCACCTCTAGGCACCAGTGCCTCATTTAATGGAAATTATAGAAACTGAACATATGCAAAGAGCATCAGATTGAGAAAGATTGAAATGGAATCAGACTCACCTGTCTCCTGACACTGAAAGTCATTTCCACAGCTTTGTTCCACATCACATGGTTCTCTTGGTTCACATGCTTCTCTGTCCCAGATATTACCAGTACACATTCTCCCTTCATATTTGGCTGGTTGTACCAGTTGCCTTGATCTGAACTGTAGAGTGCATTAAAATAGTTATATACAAATTCATAAAAAATGTGGAGTTAAACATTTAGACTCCAACAAAATAATTTGACCCAAAAAGGAGAAGCATTAATTATGTAGCCATTAAAAATGTGGAACTAATTGAGTGTTTCTCAATACAGTGGAAATTACTTAAAGCACAGCTTGCAGTTTGTGGTGATGAAACATTCAGAGATAATTTAAAAAAAAAAAAACAGAGGTAAAGCCTGATTGCAGTCAACATAAATTGCAGGGCCTTTTTTCAAATCCAATGGCTCTCTCGTTTCAAGAAGGAAAAATAACTCTGCATCAACCCGCAAATAACTGGGATCAGTTTTCCATGTCTTGGAAGTCTATATAAACAATTGGTGCATATGAAATTCCTGTTTATATTTCATTTTTGTGAAATGAAGCTACACTTTTCTGCAGTCTCAGCTTTCCAAAACAGCTTTTTCTTGGAGGTAAAGCTTGCCCCATTACAATGCTCCAGAAGTTAGTTAAGAGGGAGGTCTTCTTGATTGCATTTAGTAGTGAGTAACATTGCCATAATACATTATTTAAGGTTATGATTGCTCCACAGCAATATCATTATCATGATTGTTTATATGATAATAATTTTTACACTATTATTAATGTAAATTGCATTGTCAAGGACTTGTAACTACCTAGTTGTTTATTACATTATCTGGACATTTTAACTGTTGTCCATGGCTATAAATTGCCAGGAGTACTAGGCAGATTGGGCATAATATAAATGAAATGACTGGCATATAAATATCTAGATATATAGTGCATCAATCCAGCAAGGAGAGACAGTTTTAGTGTAGTAGTTAAGGTATGAGACTAGAAACCAGGAGGGGTGAGTTTTAATCCTGTCCTTGACATGAAGCTAACTGGATGACTCTCTCAGCCAATGGCAATGGCAAAGCACTTCTGAAATTTTGCTAAGAAAACTGCAGGGACTAGTTCAGGCAGTTGCCAGGAGTCAACATGGACTCAAAGGCATGTACTTCCTACATTCTTTTCTGGCATCTTGGTTCATAGTACAGAGTAGTACATTAGACCCAATTCAAAACAGAACAGAATTACATGATTCTGTTCTTCATTCAGTCTAAATCTGGGTTTTTGTTTTTTTGGGATTTTTTTTTTTTTGGCCATGGATATTGTCCCTGTACTGAGCTATGTTTTTACCATCATTGCAAGCAAAATATAGCAAGAAGACCGTTGCATATATAAAAATGGAACCCCTTACTCGTTTTTCTTGGCAAGGAAAGCATTGTGTCCATTGTGACCATGTGCTCAGGTGACAATCAATGGGAAGAGGTCCTGCGGCTTGTCTTTGTGATCTTGTAATAGAATGAAAATAATTAGCAATACTGAACAATAGTGTCCATTTTGCACATCTACTCTGTGGAAAGCAGTTTCAATAGAATACTCTTGACTGCAACATGGAGCTGGATTTAATATCTATTAAGTGTGTCACACTCAAGCATGGGTAGGTTAATTTCAAGGACTGTTTTCAAATGTTCAAGGAATCTTGTGTGCAGATGCTTGCTGCCGACTTGTGTTTTGTCTGCACCCTGACAGAGAACAGTGAAGACCTCTGTTTAGTTTTTTTTTTTACACTTTTACACTCTTCTATTATGTTCAGGAGACAGGGAATTCCATCTGGCTGTGTTTGATTGAACCACAAGTCAATCACAAGTAGTACTTGTGAGATTAAGTTGAGCAGGGATTGTACGTTGTGTACTGTGCTGTAATGTCCTGGAGCAAAATTGAGATATAAATATTAGCAAATAAATAAATATACAATGAATAACATGATTGTTTTTATAAGTACTTTCTCACAGCATCATAATACCAAAATTGAATTAGTAACAGAAATTCACATTTTGAAAATACTTGTTTATTTTCTCTACACCTAAGTTATATTTGAAGTAATGATGTATGTCCATAGTTTGCCCTACTTAAAATCAGAAGTTCTCACAGTGGTTTCACTGAAACAAAACAAAAATACCATATCCCCATAATTAAGAAAGGGTTAAAAAAAACTATTATATTCCTTCTGGTTTTATCACCATGTCACCACCATGGCTTCTGTGTCTCTTGGAGACTTAAAAATAACTTCTTAAAAATGTGATTCCTGGATTGTCCACTCTGATACGGACGATTTCTCACTCAGCCTTGTTCCTGTCCACTTATTTACAGTATTAGACATGACATCTAACATAGTTTTCAAGGTTAGTCAGAATTAAAGGAATTTTAACATAAAAATGCTTTAGTAATGATTACTTAAGCCTTTCTATGCCATGGTAACCTACAACATTCTCCAGATCTAGGCCAATTAAGACTTGCACAACCTTGGGAAAGCTGGATAGATAACCAATTCCCATTATTATTTCCTCCAAAGAAACATGTGTTATGTAACAATCAGACTGAATTCAAAATTAGAGCTAATTACTTAAAAGTGAGAGTATGTGCATATGAATGTGGATGTATATGAAGCTGCAGGGTTGTGTTCTTTGACAAGCTACAATTGCAGTTCTCAGTTACCTTTGTACCTTTTTCCTCCCCTTGCATGAAATACTATATAAGCAACAGCTTTTATACTTTGACAAAAAATTTAAAAAAATCAATTGGTATTGGAAGGACTATAGATCAGTATAGAAGACCCCAGAATTTCCTGTCAAATTGAAAGCCACTGCCAAAGGCCCCAAGGAAGCGGGCAATCACTTGAAAATGTTGTGGGATTCAGAGTCCTTCAAAAGTTGCTACAAAATAATAACTTTTGATGTGCTAAAACAGAGAAACTATAAAATGCATACTATTATCCCTAATTTTGTTTTTCTGAATACTTAATTAAATATAATTATACTTACATGAATTAATTTATATTTGATTAAACATCCTTATGTATTAATTAAACACAAATATATGCTCCTCTCTGATTCAGAATTGTGTGCATCTCATTCCTCTTGGGAAAAAAAAACTCTTAGTAATATAAATTCAAAGAAAACAAATTCAGGTTTTCACATGGAACCCTATACTTCTTGGAGCATCTACTCCAAAGTCACTGTTGATCCAAAATAACATAAACTCCTAAGTTAAGACAATCTTGCTAAAGATCTCTATTTTAGATTCTGGGCAGCTTCTTCCTAGCAGAGTAGACAAAATCCTGAACAAGTTATTTGACATGATAAAAAGTAGCTTCTTAGGTTATTCTGATAATAAAGGGATATTGTTTCTTGGAGCAATTTATCAGAGTAAATGTCCCTCAACTCAAATAGCTACTTGGCCCTTTTGTTTTCTGATATTTTTTTTTTCTTCAATGATTCAAAACTTCCTGGCTGGTGTGTGAATTTCTTTAGGGTATGATCTCTAAAAAGAGCATAGGGTGAAATAGGAAACTGATCTATATCCAATGTATTCCTTAATAAGATACATCCAATTTGATTAGTTATTGAAGGAGAAGCTCTGAGCAATGCTTGTTATTGTCATATTGCTAACACAGAACCTGTCATTATCACTTACCTTCTATTATCATTATGACTGACAGACTAGGAGAATGTAAGGTGCTTCGGCACCTTGAAGACCAGCAAATTTAATATGACAGGCTGTAATCCACAATTTCAGATGGCAAGCAGACATTTTACATAGAAAGTTTATTTTTTGTAGGGAGGAAGACTAATAATAATTAGAATTCTTCAAAAGCTGGAAAAAAATGTTACTCTAAAGTCCAGGAGATGTATGTAAAGAAACCAGTGGGCTGTACTTGATCATACATCACTATTTCCATAGGTCAATTTCCATTTCAGAACCAGGCAGCTAGAGAGGATCATTTTTTTTAAAAAAAATCTAAATGCTTATTTTTGTTCTCCCCTCTCCACTTTTTGCTCTGTGCTGTTGCTTGCGCAGAGCAGAAAGTGCTGAAATTACTAAACATTTGGCTGGGAAGGGGGTGCAGTGGATGAATGCAACGACAAAAATAAGCCATCTGTACTTATTGCAGAAATAAAGAAATAAAGCCTGAAAATCCAGAAATAATATATTAATAATCCAAACATAGTATTCTTGCTTTCTCTTTTCCAAAAATATTTGAAGTTCACCTTCTTTACATTTTTCCCTTGTTTGATGTGATTGCTTTATCTAGCATAAAAACATTCTGTTCTTCATTTAGATTCAGTAAGGATTCCTTGAACAAGCTTTCAAATTAAGGGAAATGCCCCATATATTTTTACCTGGAACTAAGTTCCACAGAATTTAATGGAGTTTAACTTTGAGGATATTAGCATAAGTGTGTGCCCCCTTTTTTTAACCACCACAAAATTATATAGAATATCTATCAAATGCATTGTTAAATACTATGGCTACAAGTTTGTTTTGATGCAGCATGCATGGAATGAAGAACAGAATTGTCTGAAAAACAAATTGTGGCTCAGGAGGAAATGTCTTAAACAGATGTAATTATGAGTTTCACAGAATGATTTGTGTTTTTGCTCCATAGTGATGGGTCAATTGTATCAACCATTTTTTGTTAGGTGCTTTAAGATAATAGTACCCACATGGCTCATATGCGAGTTTGAATTGATGCACTGACCAGATAGCAATTTCTATATGACAGATAGTATCTTAAATTACATGGAGATAGACTTACCTCTGGGAAGGCAATCCGGTTAGCTTACTCTGTGCCGCATCTGTATTCGGACATAATAGCAAGTAAGCTATGGAGAGAATTATAGGAAAAAGTATCTTATTTGGGTGGATCTTCATTTTCTTTTAGCAAAACCAAGTGCTTTTCATTTTTGGGGGGGGGTTTTGAAAACCTTTGAGTACCTACTTCGGAGTGATCTAGTTTTTTTCTTTTTTCTTTAGAGTGTATTTTGTGTCTCGAAGCTCTTTGGTACTGTGAATCATTGACAAAAAGAAAAACAAACAAAATGGGGAGAAAAAAACCTCAACCAGACTGTATTCTCAATGGCAGTCATTTCAAGATAGATGGACATATTTAAACAAGCTTTTATGTTCATGCCAAAGTCCATTAAGTTTGGTTAATAGAACTGAACTCTTTGTTATGAAACCCCTGTGTTATAAAGGTATAAGAACATGAACATAATTACTGTTTGTTATATCTACATGCGGTTGTGATATTTAGGAGTTAAGGACAGCATTATTGAAGGGAAAGTCAAAACAATCAAGAACATAAATTTTATTCCAATGGTTTTCCCTTTTTTCCAAGTGCAACATTTAACATATGGGATGTTTCCAGATATAGATACTGGTTATCACTAATATTAACACTATTTTGACAGGTGTAAATTTGACTAGAAAAAAAACCTGGCCATATGTAGCAATGCATTCATCGGATATATATGTACAAGTCAGACAGAGCTATGATATGTTGAATCATACCACACCGATGACTTTGTGGTGCTTGCAAGTAGGAGACAAAAATATAATAATAATAATAATAGTAATAAAGTTGGAAGGGATCTTGGAGGTCATCTAGTCCAACCCCTGCTCAGGCAGGAAACCCTACACCATTTCGGACAAATGGCTTTCCAGTCTCTTCCTAAAAACTTCCAGTGTTGGAGCATTTACTGCTTCTGGAGGCAGGCTGTTCCACTGATTAATTGTTCTCACTGTCAGGAAGTTTCTCCTTAGTTCTAGGTTGCTTCTCTCCATCTGATTGTTTCTCTGTAATGGGTAATTAGAGGCATGGTCTCCCCAACTTGGAATAATATTGGGACTTCAAAATGAATTACCCTTGGCAGACTTGTTTTCCATGAACTCTTGATATTTCTTCAGCCAGCCTATTGTAATGATATTTTGCAGAATCAGAATTTGGGTTAACTGATTCGGTCAGAAGCAGAGGGCCTCATTACTTTTTTTTTGTCTAGTTTTTTTTAATCAGAAATCTGAGAATAAATTACTGTAAGCTACAACTTTATGTTTTAATGAGCAGATGGTAAGATTCCAGTAGGAATTTCCCTGGTTTGGCATTCTACAATATACAGTATATGGGGCAATGCTACAGTCCAACATGCATCTGCCTTACAGAAAATAGTTACACTTGATAATTTTAGGACATATTTGAATTAATGCATGACAAAAACACTCTTACACAGTTGACAGAATAAAATAGAGAAGTAGCTTAATGTATAAAAACAAACAACTTTTTAAAAGTTGTTAATTCTACATCAGTCAATGTGTCCAGTGGTTAATGTTGCCAGATTTAATGCCATGTCCTCTAGAAGCCTCAGCCAGTTTTCTAGGGAGTGGACTGAGAAAATAAATAAGCAAATATTTTTTTTAATAATTATTACTCTGTCATATTCCATGGTGTCATAAAGCAGATTGATCCCTTATTTTGTCTATCACTAATAAAGATTTGATTTGACTGAACTTTAGCTAAGCATTGCTAAGATTAGACTTAAAACAGGATAAAATATGGAAATAGAACTGAATAGTAGTAACCTCAATGAGTAATGAAGATGGCACAAACTCAGTTTGGGCTTCCTTTGGGCTATATGAATTCAGCCATTCTTACCATCTGTTCAAGTGAAGTTTGCAAGCCAGATCTCACTGTGTGGCAAAGCTTTAGAAAATAATATGCTGAACCTACCAACTAATTCACTTAGGGAAAACAAAATATACACCGCACAGGGCCCTAAAGAAAATGGCAATTCATTTTTCCCCATTGTCTGTCACAATAAAATAGTTTCCAGCATCCAAGCAGAGTGAGTTATTGCTTAGCACATATTGGCTGTCATGTTTGCCTACTCAGTCACTGCATCACTAGGATCTAAATCTTTGATTTCTGAAGCAGTTGGAGAGAAGAAAGAAGTAACTGACAATATGAAATCTTTCTTTAATTTAATAAACTACATAAACCAACCACCAAGAATCTCTCCAACCCAAAGCCTGACCATCCTCTAATACAAATGGCCAAATATTTCCTTCTCAGCATCTAGCGAGATTACTGAAGCATTATATCTATTTTAGCTATGCTGACAGTGGCATCGGAAACACACTTCATATGATTAAAGTTATTTGTGGCTCTTCCAGAAATAAAACAATCAAGCACATCTCCAGTTTCCGAAAGAGAAGGTGCTTTAGTGAATGTGTTATGTTGTCAGCCAGGAAAGTAGAAAGGGGTTGGAGAGATTCAAGACACAAAGCATATCACAGATGAATAAAACACATCCCATGTTGCAGGAAGTTATGTATTTAAAATGATGGTTAAAATCTATATTCCCATATCAACATTAGAAAGTAAAAGAGCTGCAGATAAATGTTGGGCCCTACACTCTCAAGCTGTCCAGCTGGTGCAGTGACCTTCAAGGTAATGTCCCCAAAGAACAGCCGTTCTTCCTAGCCTCAGGCTCTCCACATGTGTTGGATGGCAGCTCCCAGCATTCCTAGCCAAAACTGAATTTGGCTGGCAATTCTGGAGGGCAATTCACTGGAGCTGCTCCAGCATCTGGGTTATTTGGCACAGTCTGCCACACTAAATGCAAAAGGCAAAAGAAGGCAATCTTTGCATCGCCACATGTCTCAAAACTAACCCTGTGGTGGAATACTATCTCACTAAATAAACCCTGGAGTGCATGATATATGAATGAATGAAAGAAAGCCAAGAGAAAGAAACTGATCCAATGATTTTCAACACAGACTATACTTGACAACTCATTCAAGATAGCATGGGTTTGCAAACTTGGCAACTTTAAAACTTATGGACTTCCTCAGCTGGCCTAGTCCTAAAGTTGCCAAGTTTGCAGACCTCCTGGCCTAATCTGTAGAGAAGTAGCACATTAAAACCACCAAGTCAGGTGGTGGGAAACTGGAGCAGCTGAGAACACAATGCAGTGTTTTCTGCCCTGTTTGAGTGGATTTCTCTTAAAAAATTACTGAGGGGAGAATTATTAGATGTGCAAAAAATTCCATCAGTCTGGCAAATAATAAGTTGCTTCAGTAAAAGTTGTCATTATTCATCTTGTCTGATTTTAACCTGAAGATCAATAAACACTATGAACATTGTCCCCTCCCCCAAAGCTGTGGAGAAATATCTTGAAAAATCCTAATGCAACTAAAGCTAGCTTAGCTCGTCCTCTAGTGGAAAACTGTAGGAAAAAAAACAAAACCTTTGCCTATAGAAATTTGCCAGTACTCAATACTGTGGAATTTGCAGAAGTTACACTGAAGGATTATTATAGTTGACTCTATAGATACTGAATGTCAGGGGATTCGGTTAAAATTTAGTGGCAATTATCATCAATTATTATTATACTGAATTGAATTTGCCTCCAAATGAGTGCACACATGAGCTTGACAGATCTCCTTCACAGAAGCATCTGCAGGAGAAGATGTACAAATAATAAAAGCAGCATCACACCATTGTTATTGTAAATTCTGCCCTTTTGTACAAGTGTTGTGACTTGAGGCATAATGGTGCAAAACTGCTTTTGTCATGTTGATCAAAGCATCACATCATGCACTTACCTTTCTCCTTACCCAAAAATCACAATCGATTCTTTGCCCACATTGAGTAAGTATAAATCTAGTAAAATGGTATTGACTAGATCGATAATCTGTATTATATTTTTTTTAATGTTTGGAATAGCTTAATGTCAACATGAAAAGAGTCAATTGCATTTAAAACTCATAAAGAAAACCTGCAGCTTCTCTAGCTATAATGCAGCATCCATGGTCATGATGTATGTAGGAATTTATATCTCACCTAATGGTGTGAATAACTCACAACAAATAAAGGCTAAATCAGTTCTCAACCTTTTTAATGCCGCGACCCCCAACCGGTCGTAAGTCGAGGACTACGCAATCGGTCGTAAGTCGAGGACTACTCAACTGGTGCAGCACCGTTTACAGAATGGGACTTTTGGCGGGCTCAGCATGGCAGAGATAGCCTGGACAATTCCTATTGGCTTTTGAAAGCCAATAGAATTAGACTCTATTCAAGAGAGTCTATTCTATTGGCTTTCAAAAGCCAATAGAATAAAAGGGAGTAGCACAGCTAAGGAAAAGGGGGGGGGAATGGCGGACTGCGTTGTTTGGCGTTCAACCCCAAATGGGGTCCCGACCCACAGGTTGAGAACTACTGGGCTAAATCATTCTAAAAGAGTAAAATAAAAAAATAAAAAACAGTAGCAAAAAAACCCTCTTTAATTTTTTTTTTTAAATGGCAGTTGATAAACCAGTAAGCAGGACTTATAATTGAAGACTTTCCTGATGTTCTAGAAATCTGCTAGTGATAAGGTATGATTGGTGTCCTTCAGAAGGGCACTCCAGAAGGTGGCCTGGCCACTTGAAAGACCTGCCTTGATCTTAAGGAACCTAAATGGTTTGTCTTTGATGGCAATTTCAATTATCAGGTTAATGTATACATGGGTAAAACAGTCTTTTGAATATCCAAACAATTGGGGCACATGGTGTTCATTGATAATGTTTTCAAAAAAGTTTTAATATTATATCTTGTAACTAGGCCTATAAAATTTAAGTGTTCTGGATTTCTCCCTTTTTTCCTCTCAATTCTTGTCTATTTCTGTTTTTGGTTTTGTTCCTCAAATGAAAATTTTTAAATTCTGCACTGGTTCCTTTGTACCATCTGTATTCTGTAAAATCAGCCCATGAAAATGATTCTCTTTCTTCCACATTACCATTGTTTCACATTCATATTGAAGGCATGCTGCAAAAAAAAAAAGAGAGTAACTTTTCCAATGATTTTTAAATTATATATATTATGTTATAGCATGGCGTTTTCCAAAATGCACACAAATTTCTGCTTTAGTATAACACTGAACAAAAAGAACCTTGAGGTAACACTCATAACAAATAAGATTTTATTATTCTTATTTTGCACAGTTTCCAATAATAA